TATATATATTTATTTTCAATCCCAGGCTCCCCAAACAATAACAAATCTAATCAGCATTGTAAAGTAAATGTCTACAAATAAACATCATCTGATCATTTTAGTGTGCTGCAAAATAGCATTGCATTGACATGGCTGACGCGTCAAAGCCCGAGGCACGAATCCGAGTTTCAGCAAGCTTTTTTCTTTGCTACAATATTACAACACACCGCTGCCTCCATGTGTAAAATTCCCAACAGAAAATTCATGATGACTATCGTGACCTCATTGACATGTCTGGTATTCAGAAGCAATTTCCCCCCATGCCCCACATTTGAAAAACAGTACCATGATGGCTCTGTTTGTGTCTCTTTCTACATCTTTCTCACTCTCCTTGTGCTCCTTGGGGCAACTACAATGACTGTCATTGTCAAAAGACATTTCAATTTGGCATCCCTCCTCTTGGTGCTGGCAGATTTCCACTTCAAAAGTTTGTGAGTCTCCAGGTACCGCCCCCAACGGGGTGGTACTAAGATGTTGTCTGTCTCCAGCTCTCCTGTTCTGAATCTTCTTGGCAATGCAAATAAGTGTTTTGGCTCCCATGAGCACCCTTGTCCCCCACATTAAAAACTAAATTTTCTCCAATAGAATAATAAGAGTGAGTTTTTAATTTGCCAGAGCAGGGTAACAGCTTATTGGTGGTTACATTAAAATATTCAAGTCCTGGAAATAAGACTGGGGCGGCACGGTAGATGACTGATTAGCACGTCGGCCTCCCCCCAAATTCCCAAGACATGCATGGTAGGTAAATTGAACACTTTAAATTGTCCCAAGGTGTGACTGTGAGCGTCAAAGTTCATCTTTGTGTGCCCTGCGATTGGCTGGCAACCAGTGTGTCCCCCGCCGCCTACTGCCCGAAGACAGCGGGGATAGGCTCCAGCACGCCCGCATCCCTCATGAGGATAAGCGTACTGTGTTAGAAAATGGATGGATGGATGGAAATAAGACTCGAAATAGGTGGGGCGAAAACACTGCCCAATTGCTGGTTTAATTTGCGTCTTAATTTGAAGATTCATTAAGGAAATATATTGCAGTATGTTGCACAAATCAAAGTGGGAGTCAGCAACTCTACTCCAAAGCAAGTTTCATTTTGAGTGCAAATCTAGTGTGTTTAGATAGTTGTGCATGATTTATTTCATTTTTTTAAGAGTAGCGTTTTTTTTTTTTTTTAAATCATTTTTTTTAATCATTTTGACGCCGCAAAACAGTTTTGGGACAAATGAGAACGGGGGCTTTGAGCCAAGCTTTCTCATCAGTGGCCACTGACCACACTCCTTCGGAGGAATGGACATAAATTCTCACAGACAGCCTTCAACATCTTTTAGAAAGTCTTCACAGAAGTGTCAAAGATGTTATTGTGACTAATAGGAGACCAACAAAAATTGTTTCCCCCCCCATTCAATTTTCAGTTCTTTTACATGGGCCACTAGTCATGCCCATATCGTGTCATGACTGTAATTGTCTCATGTCAACATGATAACATTTAACTTCGTGACTAAATGATATATTCCTTTGATGCCTTTAACTTTGCAATAATTCAAACTTTAAATGGATTGACTTGAAATCTAAATACTCTCACTTAAGATGTACAAATACAAATAGGTGTTATTTTTTTCTTTTTTTACATCCATTTTGTGAGCATATTGTTCCGAGCCTACTGTCAAGTTCATTTCAGTCGTTTCTGTCTCTTCCGTTTAAGTGTTTGTGTGTATATGTATCTCTGTGTGTGTGTGTGTGTGTGTGTGTGTGTGTGTGTGTGTGTGTGTGTGTGTGTGTGTGTGTGTGTATACGGATGATCAAACGTAGGCATGGGAAAGTGGCACTGTGGGCCTCTGGCATTGTGCAGTTGGGGATCTGACCTCCGACGGCAAACAAACACATTCCCTTTATTTCATCTCAAATCCCTCTCTAGCATGATAAGAGTCAAATTAAAGACCTCCCTTTCTGCTAGTGGTGGGAACTCAGAGATAAGGTGGGGAGCAGGGTGGCTTCCGGGAGTCCTCCAGAGAACAGGGAGTACTCCAACCGCTGATACTGTTGCACACAAGGGAATGAAGGTTGCAGATGTGTGTGCGTGTCTGTATCTGTGTATTCATCTGAGCTTGCATTCATAGATTAGCAAGGAATTTTTGCCGCGCAACATTCTCACAGTTTTTTGCAACCACGTAGGGTCTTCACAAAATATAATTTCCATTGTTAAAGTACCCGTCTGTCACAACCTTGGAGATGATGTGGTGGCACGACAGCTGTAGAGCAAAATAATTAATCACACAGTAACTCTGGTCAAGATGACCTGGTTCATTTGGCCTTGGCCCATGCACAGACTTTGTAGGATCACCAAAGTCGGTCATTTTCCTTTTAAATGTATTTCTACGAAGCAGAGACGCCCCTCACTTAGACTTCCCCATGACTTACTGTGAAAAATGTGTGAGTACTTTCACAGGACATTTCATGAGGGACAGAAAGTGAATTATTCTCATCGAGGAATGTCATTGTCAAAAAGGTGTGAAT